AGTTGGTTGGTGAACTCTACTGTGTGAAAGACCACTATTTGTTTTAATCCACAAAACGATTTCCATGATTGATCGTTGATGGTAAAACAATAGACGCATAAGTGAAAAAATGAGTCTCAATCATATTATGAAAGTGACTTTCCCACGCTCATTTTTTTTCCTTAACTTGTTTGTTTATTTCTAACCTTCAAATTCAACAAATCAAGAACAGTGTGCATAAATCATCTCTCTTTATTATTAACTGTCTTATGCTTGGTTTGATCCTTTTTTATATTATCTTTGCGTGGGGATTCTTCATTTGGGGTTGAGGGTATACAGAGTCTAGAGACAGAAAATATTGTTTCCTTTTGGATCCATCTGCCATTTTAATCTCCATTTTTATGGAAAAATATCCTTTTTGAATTTCTTTCACCAAGGTCACTGGATCAAGTGATCCGGACCTTCCAAATTTCATCCAACGATCCATCTGTTTTGACCCCTTAAAAGTTGTGATAATTTTTTGTCGTTGGATGAAATTTGAAAGGCTCGGATCACTTGATTCGATAGCTTTGGTGAAAGAGATCCGGAGATGATCTCTTTCCCATTTTTACTAGAATTTAAAGCTTTTGTTTCCAATAAATAAACAAATGAAACTTCTATTTTATCTTATTATCAACTGTTTATGCAAGTCAGTTGGATGGTTTCTCAATGCCAAAAATATTAGAACCAAGAAAAAAATACATGTATTCAATTCAAGAGTAGGAGAATCTTTAGTTTTCAAATCAAAACTGACAGACATCCTCCATGGAAATTTGGATTTATATGTTGCATTAATAATATGCTTTAGTTTGTGGACCACGAAAATGACATCCTTGCTACAAGGATCAAGGAGTGTAGGGTTCAGAGTTCCATGTTACTGAGATTTCTCTCAGAATGCTGTTGCTTATCCAAATAATTAGGTTAAACAGACAATTTTCCATTGATTTTTAAATCAATAAAACATCTGTCATATAGCTAATTTAAATATATTTTAACAACTTAATTAGGGGACATAAACAAAACTTACCTGCAATATACGCTAACCAAGATGTCAAGCATGCATGAAATGCAACTTGACAAATTAGAAGTGTATGCGAATTCTGAGTATTTGAAATTCAAAAGAAGCTCTTAAAATCAGAAGGAGAAACCTGCAGCTTCCGAGTCAGGATGGCTTTGTTCTTGTTTCTTTCAATATATTTTCCAATTTTTTATATGAAAATGTTAAATAAATTCCAGATTATATAGAAAAATACAAGAACTTCATCAGATGTTTGTGTTCAAACAAATATATGTTAAGCAAATTCTTGACTGATGGGAAATGTCTGTTTTCATTCAGTTAATCATTCAACAATAATGATTAATTCAATGCCACTGTTTTTTTTTTCATATTATATATTGATGCCAAAATGGGGTCTACATGTAAAGAAGGAAGAATGAAATGATTCACATGGGAAAATTCTTACTGTATGTCTTTGATTTTATGAGTGGTCCGATAAAACGGAAAGATCAAAAAAATGAGTAATCTTAAACAAGAAAAGGACTCTCAAAGGTGGTATGTATTGTTAAAAAGATAAAGTGCGCAAATCCTATAGCCAAACATAAAGCAACCAAGAATCTATGTTTCTTTATCTGCTGCTGCTGGATCATCTCTATCACTAGCAGGGACTGGTCACTGAGTTGTCTTGAGTTGGCCAAAACTATATATAGATCCATATAAAATGTCCTTCGGTGTGCATCGCACTCTTATCGTGTCACCAATTCGTCCATTGTGATGTATCCACGTGCAGAAAATGTATCTTAAAAGTAATGTGATACGAACAACCTTACTAAAGGATTTTTGGTGGAAGAGACATTGTGTGTAGTAATGAGAAATGGGGAAGAGGATTTTATTTTTTATATTTTAGGGTTGAATTAATTTGTTTTGGGTTGGGGAAGGTGAAGAAGAATCCCACTAGTGGGACAGAAAAAGCAAAACTTTCCAAAGACATTTGGACAAGGGAGTCAATGCCAATCATAATCAGCAAAAGGCATCTCTCTTTCTACCTCCTAGTTTTTGTCCCTCACCCTCTGTCTCTCTTGTAAGGTGGATGGTCCAACACCAGAAGGTTAATGGGGAAGAGTTTGCGCGCCAACTTGATCCTGATGCAATTAATAATTTAATTATGCTTAGAGAAATCATTGTCTAATTACACACTATAACTCTAACATCTAACAACACAAAAATGATCTTCAAAAAGTTTTTAGTTATGAGAGTTTTCAGGTGCATTAATATTTAACCCTCTACTTCTCCTAAATACAATCCCTCAAAATAACTACTATAGCACGTTTACGTAAGGATAATCGGAATAAAGAAAGGGAATTGAATTCCGATTACAGAGTATTCTAATGTTTACTAAATATTAAGGAATCAAAAAAGTGGTGGAGCCCACACGAAACAAGGAATCCAATTCCTGAAATTAGAGGAACGGGATTCCTTGATAGATGAGGTATTTGAATTCTCAGAGGGTAAGAGAATTGGGAATGCATCTTTTATTCCTATTATGCCCTCACTTGTTTCTAATTATCTCAACATTGCCCTGCATTCGACACTCATTATGCCATCTTTTAATAAATAAATAAAACCTATTTATACATTTTCATATAGATAATTTTATTATATATATTTAATTAAGAATTTAATTTAATTAATTAGTATGAAAATAATTTATTTATGTAAGGGCAATTTAGTAATCAACCTAGTTTTCATTCTGATTGAAGTGAATTAGTAAACAACTTATATGGACTGAACATTATTCCTGCCATCTTTTAATAAATAAATAAAACCTATTTATATATGTTTATATAGATGAATTTTATTATATAAATTTAATTAATTAGTATGAAAATAATTTATTTATGTAAGGGCAATATAGTAATCAACCTAGTTTTCCTTCGATTGAAGTGAATTAGCAAACAACTTTATATGGACTCAACATCATTCCTACTTCGATTCCAAATAGTTTTAGTAAACAGTTTCAACAAGAATCTGATTCTGATTCTACCTCATTTCCATTACTCATCAATCCAATTTATCCTCAATTCAATTCCTCTCAATTTAATTACGAATTAGTAAATGCGCCCCTATTGTCTACCATTGGCCTACTAAGTCACTAACAGCACCACCACACAACTCTGCAACCTCTACATGTCATTACAAATAGTAACTCCAAAACATGACAGAGAATACAAAATTTTGTAACATTTTTTAGCAGAATTTTCTACCACTTATGGATGGGTTGGTTCATACATTTGGCAGATGTTAATGACAAAGGCACTAGGATTTTGTAAATTTATTTTTGCAAAAATTCAGTTAATTGTGTCATTTAGTACTACAGTCTAGTTGTAACATCCCACATCACCCAGGGGAGTGGATCCTCTAAGCCTTATATGTATATTCTCATCTCTACCTAACACGAGGCCTTTTGGGAGCTCACTGGCTTCAGGTTCCATAGGTACTTCCGAAGTTAAGCGAGAAAGGGGCCAGAACATTCCCATGATGGGTGACCCATTGGGAAGTTCTGCTCGCGTAAGTTCTCAGAAACAAAACCGTAAGGGCATGGTCGGGGCCCAAAGCAGACAATATCGTGCTACGGTGGAGTCGAACCTGGGATGTTGTGGGGGCCCAGGCCGAGATGTGACAATTTGGTATCAGAGTCAATCCTTGGCCGGAAGTGTGCCGATGAGGACGTCGGGCCCTTAAGGGGGTGGATTGTAACATCCCACATCGCCTAGGGGAGTGGATCCTCTAAGCCTTATATGTATATTCTCATATCTACCTAGCACGAGGCTTTTTGGGAGCTCACTGGATTCGGGTTCCATAGGAACTCCGAAGTTAAGCAAGAAAAGGGCCAGAGCATTCTCAGGATGAGTGACCCATTGGGAAGTTCTGCTCGTGTGAGTTCCCAGAAACAAAATCGTGAGGGCGTGGTCGGGGCCCAAAGCGAACAATATCGTGCTACGGTAGAGTCGAGTCCGGGATGTGGTGGGGGCCCAGGCCGTGATGTGACACTAGTGGTATTCCTCTACTTATAATGAGAGGTCTTAGGTTTGATTCTTGCCAAAAGCGAATTTGAACCACATTATTAATGGCTCATTGTGAGGTTTGGCACACTCTCTTACCCTTTTAGTGTAGATAATATCGTTTGTTAAAAAAAAGTCAACTAATTGCACCCAAATGATGTACCAAGCATATATACATACATACATACATTAGTCAAATAACCAGTTATAATGCATATTCAGAAATTTTAGGGGTGTTCATTGGTTCAAAATCGTTGATTTTTAGCAAGACGCAATTCAGATTCGATTATTACACACTTATTTTTTCTTTATGCAGTGACTTATTTTTTGTTTTTGACGTGTACAAATTAAAAAAAGAATCAAGAGACATGAATCTTAATGAGTGTGTATATGCATAATGATAAAACTAATGTGCTAAAAATCATTTCTGGATATTATAATATGATACGGACACACGTGATGCTTACATGTACCTACTCGACCATTACGATGTCTTTTTCTTTGTTGAGTCTTTGCTTAAAGTATTTGTGCAACCGTCGTCCCGATGTGCATTCATCATGTGTATGATCCATCGATCTAAGTTTATTTTAAAGAGTTTGATGATCCAAGTTTAGTGGCATTTTTTTTCTCCCTTTTATATATTGTAAAAGAAAATTCAAGTTTGACCTCCTCTGTTATGTTGATTTTTAAAAAGAATAATACATGCATTCTCCACAAAAGAAATGCACAAATCTCACTTTGCAAATAATGTGTTTTTACCGTATCACCCAAACTATTAAATTTCTTAATTAACATTCATAACGACATCCAAGTGTATAGTCTAATATTATAAATTGTACGTAATTAAATATTTTCTACATTTTGAAACTTCTATCACAATGATGTATGCATGTGCATCATGCATGTCTCCATCTAATCTTATTTTAAGAACATTAGTTGAAAAAATAGAATACTAATAATTCACAAATGAGGATTTTATTGAAAAATATAGAAAGAACAAAAAATTAGGCGACAAACCCAGTTACTATACACTTGTATACATGACATCACAAAATAAATACTCTCTCGATTCATACACAAGAGGAGGAAAGAAAAAGCAAAAAATTAGGGCACAAACCTAGTTATTATACAGAAGTACTGGCCCCCCAAATCGGTAATTTGACTAGTGTTAAAAACTCCCACACTTGTAGCTACAAGCTAGGTTGCAGATGAGATACCATGCATGCACGTAGAGATCTCAATGATAAGCACTACCAAATTTTCTTAATGCACATGCATTTATCATCAACACAATCAACACTGTAGAAGCCGGTGGCTACGCATGATGAACGACAATCGCCGACGCTATTAGTATCGGGAATCCAATGGCTCTGGATGTGACTCTGAACATGCTCGTCACGGTTATTCTTGTTAGTCTTATTCTTGTGCTTTGCCTAATGATTCTTAGCGGTCTCACTCTGCTTCATCTGATGAAGCTTCTTCTCTGCCTGAGGACTATCACGTTCTTGCTTCTTACCCTCAACAGCCATTGGTGCCATCTCTGCCAATATTATACATCATATACAAATTACGTCAGGTAATTCCAATACACACACACACACACACACACACACATACATATACAATAATACATTCAAATTACATATGATAGAAAGATACCAGTAACCATGAGAAGAGTAACAAGGACGAGGGAAACAAAAATAATCGCATGGAGCAAGCCATCTTGATGAATATTTATTAATTACGAGAGAATGATAATTTTGAGATAGAGATTTTGATCGATGCAAAGGAGTATAACCTTGCAAGGCCTTTCTACAGAGTTTGTGCAATGGATTAGGCTATCTCCATCTCAAGGATAGAAATCTCATAATACAGCCCCATATTTTCAACTGTTCATATATACACATGAAGTTAATCAGTTTTTTCCCACAATGGTAAGGACCTATCATCCCACCCCCCAACTTTATAATTTGTTAAACTTTTAAATTTCATCTTGTTTTATTTTTAGGAAAATCAAATTTAGAAAAGAAAAAAAAAATTGAAGAGATATTTTTGAGTTGGATATCATTGAGTTCTATATCACAATATTATTCTAATATAGTATGAACTATCTATTTGGATGTCCTACATAGTGAAGATCTAATCTTTTAAGATTTTTCTTTTCTGATTTCCTATGACACGCCCGACCTTAATATTCTCCCAAACAGCAAGGTAGGCACGTGCTGGCCGACCCCTAAAGGTGACGAAACCATATTAGGATGCATGAGAACTAACAAACATAAATAAAACTTATAAGTTTAACTATAATGAATATGCAATTTATGGAACGTGTTCAGAGCATACAGCTAAATTAAGACACTAAAAAGGAATAATATAAAATTGAATGAACAAAAGGATGGGTCCTACACTGAGAAGACTTAAAGATGCCGATGCAGGAATGCCTTAACGTCGAGATTGTACGCCTCGATTCTAAGTCCTGAGGGGGCGCAAAACAAAACATGAGTGGACCAAGTTAATATATATAAGTAGTACAAAAACAGTTATTCAATAACGTACTAACCCCCAAATGTTTATGAAGATTTAATAGCATAATAAGTAATACGTTTTCCGAAAGCCCTAACATGCTATAAAACTTTGAAAGACATATATTATATATGGTGTGTGCTTATGAGTGGTATATATATAAAGCATATACATAGATATTATATTTCATTTGCCCAAAGGCATGTAGAACACTTATTCATTCATCAGAAGGTTCTACATCACTGCATGCGTAGGCAGATCATTCCCCCGTAGACACTACATCTCTCGGTTGAAGCCAATATAAGTATCTTTCGACCCATAGGCCCCTACATCACCCGACCGAAGCCAATATAAGTATCTTCCGGTCGAAGCCATCTACAAACGCCTGGCCAAAGTCAATATAAATATCTTATGGCCGAAGCCATCTACAAACGCCCGGCCGAAGCCAATCATATATCTCCCTCCCGTAGGTACCAACCAAATGCCTCGGCCGTAGCCAATATAAATATCAATCGCCTGTAGGCTCCTACAGCACCCACCCGAAGGCATATAAGTATTAATAGCCTGTAGGCAAAACATACGCCCATATGCAAAACATACGATTTCTAATATATATAAATATATATCCTAATTGGAGTTCGGTAGCTACAACGTCATATCATAAAACATATTTGTAGTATATAGTCATCAATCATATATACTACGAAGAACGTCAAAATCGATAAAGGATGGTATTCCAAAATATTCTCAGTAAAGTATGATATCTCATAAAGTGTAAATCTAATTTACTCATAAACGTTTCGTAAAACATATCCATTAAATCATGTTTTTCATGTATGCATTTCTAATAGTAAAATATGCATTTTAGAATGGGTCCACTCACCTTACACTGTTGGTGAAGAGTCGTGCAAACAAGGGTGGACGAAAACGTCATACACAATTACACCTAAGCACATAAAGGTACCAATTAATAAAACTCTAGCATAACAATTGAATTTCGAGAAAACAGACGTTATAAACAGATTCACGACGTCGAAAAACATAAAGGGGACCTCAGGCGCGTGTGCTCGAGATAGGTCGCTGGAAAGTTCACCGGTGAACGGCGGCGGAGGCGCGTGTGCTCCACACGCCAGCACAGGCAACCCTTCACACACACTTACACGCCACTTACGCGCAGCCTTGGGTTCTGGGGTCTGATTGGGTATGGGCTTGGTTCCTAGGCTTGGGCTTTCTAGGGTTTAGGCCTGAGGTTCATTGGGCCGAAGGCTTGAGTTAGCATAGCCCAAAGGCTTGGGTTTTGGGCAGGGTTCATACAGGTTTGGGCTTAAAAGTTTAGCCCAAGGGTCTAGGCTGTACAATGGGTTTTGGGTCTGGGTTTCAGGGTTTAATGGGTTGGGCTTGATAGAGCACATGGACTTGGGCCCATCTCAAGGGTTTGGGATAGCCAACTGGGTCTGATGGGTTGGTTTTGTGTACGCGGGTCGCTAGACCTAATGGAAGGGAAGACCGAAATTTTGGTCGAGATATCTCGAGCTCTGATTAAGCTCAAATCCCAACTAAACATTACAACCCAATACATAAAATTAAAGCCCGTGAAATAATGAATCGAGTTATACCTTTCTCGTGGCCAGCCGTGGTTGTATCTCATAGGAATATGCCTGCAAAGGTAAGTTCACTCCTCGAAAAAACTGGGTTTAGCACCCCCAAGGTATCTTTGTGCTATCTCATTGTTCCAACACATAACCTAGGTTAGAATTAGGCCAAAAGAACGAAAATAGAGAGATTTCAAGTGTTCTGAGACTTACCCAAATCAAAGGGACGAGGAATCTCGCTGAAGCTCTCTATTTCCAACTTCTCTCCGATTGGAGTGCAGGTCCATGAATGGTTCTATAGATTTAGGCTCGGGAGGGAAGATGGGACAAGGTGAGTAATGGTGGCAGAGCTCGTATGAGTGGCAGGTTGGTGACATGGGTGGTCCATGGGTGTGCTCAAGGGAGAGGAGAGATAGCTTCGGGAAGAAAAGGGACAGAAAGAGTGAGGAGAGGAGAGAAGAGAAGCTGGGGGACAAAAATCAAGGGTGGGCCCCGCGTTGCTCACCAACCAATCCCATAAAAGACAAAAAAAGAAAATATCTCCTTTGAGTGTGAAATTACCATTTTACCCTAACGTTCCGAAAAATCTGAGACGAGTTGTTACATCCAATCTCTCTTATCTTATTTTGTCTGATTTCCTACACATTTGTTATGATCAATTCCTTCTTTATAAGTCGAAGGAGTTCTAGGCAAACACACACCTCTTTCTTAAATCTCATACTTTTGCTTAACACACTTTCATTTTTTTAATGGGTTCAAGTTGTGACAAGAGAATTCAGATGCTAGAAGTATTCAATAAAGAGGAAGACCACCATCAACATGATGTTGTTGTTGTTGTTGTTGCTAGTCAACAGACATTGTTAGAGGCTAATAGGCATCCAAAACATATGGCAGTTCGGTTGCTAGTTATGAAGTTGTTGATCGTGAAAGAAAAAATTGGCATGAGAACCTCATGAAAGACTACTTCATCCCTCACCCTATTTTTGGAGCTTCTAAATTCTATAGGTGTTTTATAATGAAGCGAGAACTTTTCTCCACCATCATGCAAGTTGTTGTCGGACACAACCAATACGTCTAAAAAAGGGATGTTGTAGGCCGACTCGGTCTATCACCTGAACATAAGCTAGCAAGTGTCTTTTGACAGCTTATATATGTCCTCCCAACTGATTCCACAAATGGATATACTAGGTGTGGAGAATCCATAGCTATTGAGGCTCTGATGAAGTTTTGTAGGGTCCTTTTAAAGATCTATGTAAAATGGTACCACCAATGCCCAAATTTAGTTGACATTCAAAGACTACCAATAAAGGGTGAGTGCCTGGGATTCCCAGGCATGCTAGGGAGTCTTGATTGCATGCATTAGGAATGGGGGAATTGCTTTTCTGATTGGAGTGGCTAATTTACTAGTCACCATGATAGGCCGATTGTGGTTCTTGAGGTTGTGGCATCTTACGATACTTGGATATGACATTTTTTTTTTTTTGGATCCGGATCACTCAACAACATCAATGTGTTAGAGAGTTTGATAGATAGAAATTTTGGTCTATGCGAGGGAGTAAACCTTGCAAGGCTTTTATACAAAGTTTGTGCAATGGATTAGGGTCTCAAATTAAGAGCTTGTCTGTGAAGAAAGCTTTGTAATCAGCAGAAATAGCAAGATATCAGTGGGCTCACTCGGCCTGCAGATGATTGCAATAGCCCAATGGGCTAAATAACAGTTTTGTTTGTTTGGGCTTCTTGCTCCCACTTTATGCAAAAAAAAAAGTAAAAAAATTAAAAAAGTTGGATAATCTTGATTTTCATAAAGTTGTTGCTGTCATGTTGTGGAAACATTGGGAATTCAGATGCTCTTCAAGTGATGCAATTAGCAATTAACATGTGGTCTTGAATGTATTCCTCCATGAAAATACAAATTTTATTCAAATCTATTTGTTTATTTTTTAGCTTTTTAATCAATTTGGAAAATAGTCTATCTATCGTATAACAATGATAATCTAGAAGACGAAAACAAACCCGTCGAATCTAAAAAAAATATACAATAATACTTCCTGTGAATCTGCAAGCTATGACATACGTTGTATTAAGGTGGAATGACTCCATCTAGCTAGCCTTTCTTTCTTCTTCTCTCAGTCTTGGCCACTACATCCACTGCCACAGAACTTGTACTGCATAAGTAAAAATAAAATAAAATAAAATAAATACAAACAAGGAAAGGTACTTACTTGAAGAAATGTAGCATGAGTGGTTAGAGGTCACGTGAGAGGTGAGTTAGGAGTACTAGTACAATCTACAAGTGAACTGCCCACCCAATTAACTTAAGTGAAAGCAATATACATGACCCTTTACTTTGGTTTGGTTTCTTATCCTTTTCTAAAAACCATCTTAGAGCTTGCTTAAGATGGTTATAGGAAAAGTTAAAAGAGCTTTCTGATAGTCAAAAATGTTTTTTACTACGGCTATTAAAATAAAAAATAAAGGTGATTTTGTGTCATAAGAAGCACTTTGTGAAGAACACACTCGTAAAATGATTATTTAGGATAACACGTGAATTATTAAATAAATTTTAACATCTATCTATTGAAAACACTTCTAGCAAAAGCACTAGTGGTCTTTGTAGAAAAATTATTGTGGCTGATGGGAGTACCACTTGGTATGTTGGCATGTTACTATTTGTAAGTGTTGGACTGCTTCAAGGATTAGGATCTTCCTTTTCAACTCAATGTGTTCCCGATTCAAACTCTTCCCCATTCCCTTTAATATAAATTATAGAGTATAATATTGTATGATTGAAATAAGATTGAAATATTAGTAAGTGTTAAATTTTGAGTAAACTCGTTTTAGTTGTTCAAATTCTTGAAGCTCTGTCTTGGTTGTTCTCTCTTTTTATTAAAAAACCTTCTCAAGTTAATGATAGTTATGATTTTGATAAAAGGAATTTGTAGTTTTACGAGATCATAACGCGTAGTATCAACGTTACACGAAAGATCTAGTTGGCATTTGTGTTATATCTAACACTTCATTCAATATATTTTTAAGTCCAAAACACATAGACTAGATTTTAATTAATACTCTTTCGGTGAATTATTTATGGAATGATAATCTACAATCTTGTAAGAAGCGAGCTTACCGTGTTGTTAACAATTAACATATTTCTTTTCCCATCCCTCAATAAGGTTTTGGATCCTTGCCGAATCCCTTCCCTGGAATCCTAGGATCAATGTACGTAGACCGTTGATAAAAAATCGTGTGGCCACAATTTTTTTATTTTTTATATTTTTCATGCAAAACGAAACTGCTTTACTTTTAAAAATATAAAAAATATTTAATTGGGACCGCACGATGTTTGATCAACAGTTCACGTGCGTTGATCTCTATTATCCCATCCCAGGGGATCCCGCGAGGATCCTAATCCCCTCAATAAATCACTCTCAAATTGCATCGTAAAATATTCAACTAGCTCTAGTCAAGTAACTTTTTACTTTCAGTTATTGAAAGAAGTCTTAACTTCTAATATATTATCCCTCGTTCTTAACGAAAAAAGTCAATGTAAAAGAAAGAAGTTACAAATTGCCAATACCAGTTAGTTACTTCATGAGTTAGCATAACTTCATCATCATCACTTATGCGTTTTCTGTGAGAGCAAAATGCCATGAAAACGTTAAGGGGAATGCTCTAGAGAATGAGCACATTTTTTCACTTATAAATAAGTATTGTTATTATAAAAACTTTACAAGCGGAACCATTTAATCTTTTTATTTTCATTTGAGGATTATCTCTACAAAAAGTCATTCGAATTGAAGATGCCAAAATAAATCAACTGTCTACAAGTGTACGTACCAAGTAGCATATTCATGAGGAACCGTTGACTTATTTGATACATTTGGATGACTATATCTTCGATTTGAATAATTTCTTTTTGCAAAGTTGATCTTTAAACGAAGCTTAAAACAGCAAACAGTTCAGATTATGAAATTTATACGACAATAATATATTATTTGTGAGTGAAAAATGAGTTCATCCCAAGGAATGTAAGTATTATCCAAATGGTAATCAATTTCTCCTCTAGCGTTCATCCAAGAGTCATATGGTTAAATACCTCCCACTACATTTGCCAGAAAATAAAAGAAGAAGGATGGAATAGATCTCCATTTTTTCAACCAGAAAAAGAAAAAAAGAAAAAAAAAAGGACATGAATATTTTAGTACAAAAAACATTTTTAACAAAGAGTAAAGAAAAATAAGTGGTGAGTTGGCATGTGAATGGAGTTTTTTTCTTAATTTATTGAGTTACAAGTTGAGATTTTCAACATTGAGTTTGAGTATTTCTCTTTTCGATAGTGTACTAGATTAGACCCACTTCTTACTTTTCATTTTAATCAAGGGTTTGAGGGAAAATCTTATCTCAGACGTCCAATTCTTGAAGCAAAATTACCCTTGCACCAAAACAGAAACACAAAGAAAAAAAAGGTGAAAACAAATACAGAAAAAAGAGAGAAAAATAGACAAACATCTGCAAAATTTCGAAACCCAGATAAGATTCATAGCACTTACTCTGGCAGTGACCCCAAAACCCAAAAAATAGAAAGAAAACAATAGTAAATTCTATTTGTTTTGTTGCTTTGGTCATCTGTCGAGAAAGAAGAGAGTAAAACGAAGCAAAAGCAGCGTGCCACGATACGAAAACAACCTATAGAAGCGCGCTTCCTCCCCCACAGAAAGAAGCCCCCTCCTCCCGAGTCTCCCTAATCTCCCCCCCCAATATAAAACCCACCATTTTTTTTTCTCTCTCAACAATTTTCTCTCTCTAAAATATTCACACAAACATGAAATTGGGATTTTAGAAGCTGCCCCAAAAACGCACAACCCAGTTGTTGTCTCAGTCGGTCTTCTTTTTTGACAAAAGGGTAGGGCTTCTTTTTTTCCATGAAATTGTACCCCACACGTCTCTGTTTCTCTAATCTCTTGATATCTATATCTTGGTATTTTATTTGGTATTTTCTAATATTTTTTTTCTTTCATATTTTAGGCCACGGGGACCTGCAACATCTATAAGCCCCCCTTTCACTCACTAGCCAAAGATTTGCCAGATTGAGAGAGGGATAGAAAAGATTGTTGCTTTTACCCAAAAACCCATCAACCCATCAACCCAATTCTTTTTCTTAACACAACGACTCAAACTTTCCCCAAAATCTCACCCAAAATCTCACCCAACCCAAATGGGAAAATGGTGATCTTCCTCCCCCTTCTTTAAAGGTAAGCTACATTACTCTCTCTCTCCTCTCTGTAAATTTGGCCATGCCCATCTCTATGTATGTCACATTTTTTTTTTCTTTTGTTTCTTTTTTGCTGACTAATTATATGATTATATCTCACCCCTACCACAAACCTATTACCCTAACCCTCTTGCTCTAACATTTTGACTC